AAATGACGCAAAAACATTCCTCACGTGGCTGGCTGCCTTTTAGACGGAACCTCGACAAAAGACAAGCAACTGAAATCAAGCGTCAATCAGCGCTCGTGAAGACCTCCTAGGCTATCACCCAGAGAGGCAAATGGGCCATGAGGCCTGGGGCCCGGCCTTCAGCTGTCCTTGGCCCCTCTTTGTAGAGCCTCTCCGGGAGCATCTCCAACTGCCGCCCTGAGGTTTGACGCTGATCCGTCATCTCTCTGGTAGGAAGGTTGGTGTTTCTTTGCAAGGGACCGCAAAGCCATATTACATTCAAAGTTAAATAAACAAACGTTTGAATCTGTGTTTTATTGGTTCCATACCATCTGCCATCTGGTTTGGGGGAGCAAGAAAAACTGTGGTTTTGTTGTGTGTGTGTGTGTGTGTGTGTGTGTGTGTGTGTGTGTGTGTGTGTTGCTGGGTTTTTTTTTCTTTTCCCTGTGAAAATTCTCTAAGGTTGAACCCTGGCAGCAGCATGGACTGGTTAAAAGCCACCTAGCTTCCCACGTCTTAACTTGAAACTAAATGTTGGAGGCTGGTCTGGGTCCCCATCTGCTAAGCAGCCTGTTGTGTGAAAATGAGATCTATACATACGCAGAGCTCCACAGCCTGGCTTCCAAGAGCGAAAGAATTGTTATGAACTAACCACAAGAAATGCTTATTTAATGTTGACAAGCTGCACCCAAAGGCTAGAGAGGGGCGTGTGGAAAAGAAACAGAGGAAACCTGGTGTCTGAGCGCCCCGAGCTGTCAGGAAAGGCAGCTCCACCTTCGAGACCCTAGGTTGCGAGTGATGTCGAGCTTGTAATGACTTGAAGGAGAAAACATGCCCCAGACACTGGGTGGGAGATATGCCCCAGCTTGCCTGGAATCTTTAATCTGGAAAATACAATGGTTGAGGGGAGAGGGAGGGGGGCACATTCCACAGTGGGGGCGGGGTAACGGCCAGCATCTCAGCATCTCCTGGTGGCTCAGATGTTTTTGGCCAACAGAGCCTGGAGCTGCTTATAAAGTGAAGGACAGGGGAGGGGAAGTACTCTCAGAGCTTCAGTTTCCACAACTCTTAAGCCAGTTTTCAGCTTCCTCTTCTACACAATAACGACAGACAGATGCAGATGCCACAGGGCCAGGCAGGTGATGAAAATGAATGCGCTGAGGGGGTGGGAACTGAGACAAACACACTTTTGGCTAAACAGAGCAGAGACTCAGCCAGCACCAGGGATGGTGGCCATGTAGGAATCAAGCCCAGTGTGGCCAGATTTCCCAGGCTTTTAAGAAAGGCCAGAATTTCTATGTGAAAAAGCCCAGCGTGGCAATGCTAGCAGCTATTGCAATCCTTGGGGGGAAAAAAATCCAACCATATAAACCTGTCTGCAGCCCACATAAGGCCCACTGGTCTCCAGCTGGTGACCTCTGTGGAAGAACTCAGGAGACAGTCTTTGGGAAAAGCCAGAGACAAGGACCTTCTCTTCTCTTGATGAGGGGCAGGAAGGCCAGTCAAGGAATGTCGGGCCTGTTCACACCTGCATGGGCCTTGGGCAGCACGGGCATACTCTCCAGGCCCTGGGTCCCCCCAGGCTTGGTCCACAGATGCTGGGAAGGGCCCACCCTAAGATGAGATGCCCACCCTCCCAATTCCTGAGCCCCAGCAGGTGGTGAAATTCCAGCCCAGGGCCAGCTCCAGGCCCTCTGTGACACAGTGACTGCTCTGGGCCGAACTCTGAATATCTTTGCCTTGCAACTCATTGCTGGGAAAGAAATGGAGTCTGTCATGTACACATAGGATATTCCTGCTACACGTACCCACTGTGTCTCCAAAATTTGGCCCCTCCCAGCCACCCTTTTGTAGTATCACGAGGCATAAGTTGGTGATCTGCACAAAGTGAGACACAACTGTATGGGTAAAATCGTAACATTTCCAGAATATCTCACCTGGTTTTAGGATATCTGCATATCAGTAGGCATTCAGAGGTGGAGGGAAGTATGATTTTAGTGCATTTGCATTATTCCTCAGGGGTGGAGAGAAGTTCATCTCCATATCAATGGGTAATTACCTGGGCAACAGAGGGCTTATCTGTACCTGAGAGGGGAGGGGAGGGCCGGTTTTGCTTCTGCTGGAGCAGGAGAGAGAGATGGGCTGGACTGCAGATTTGTAAGCAATAAACGAGTTTTAAACTTTATTTCTCCCTTAGACTAATTTCGGTTTTTAAAGGTATTTTGCCCTGGAATTCCTCTCCCCAGACTTACAACCGTTTAAGCTCCTACCAGATGTCATCTCTCTTGGCATAATCTGGAACAGTCCTTACTGTCTCAGCAACCAGAGAACTTTTGCTATTATATGTTATCAGATGGGTCAGAAGAGGGGAAACAAGTAAACTGTAAGTCTACTTTGTCTGGGGTTTTGTTGTGTTTTCTTTCTAACTGAGGTGTGAAAAAGTCCTAAGCTCAGTTGAAGTCCTTAATAAAGAAACAATTCAGATTTTTTTCAGTGATAAAATCTGCATATTTGTATTTCAAATAATGTAGCCCAAACAATGCAAATTCCTCCATTTTTTTCCTTTATTTGCTTACTGAATATCATTTATTCAGTATGAAATCTTTATATTGTATGTCTCACATATTGAGAATAAATGTACATTAAATCTTGATAAGATGTTAAAAACAAAACCAGGAGCCCTAATCTCCCAACGGCCACCATCTTGCTATGGGGTCTTGGCGACTCATTCATTGGTCTCAGCTGCCACATGGACAAGAGGGTGTACAGAGGCCCCTCCCGCTCTGCATCCCTGCAGAGTGAACATGTGGGGTGGGGAAAGGGGGAGCATTGCAGGACGGAGAGGAGGCAAGCATGGCAGAACCCCATCACCAAAAATCATGGGCAAGAAAACTGTATGCCACACGGGCACAAGAAGCATGCAGACTCCAAGCCCACTACTAGGAACAAGAGTAGACGATGAGTTCCTGGGGGCAGAGGGTAGGTCCTGCCATCTCTGGATCCTGGAGCCTAGCATAACACTTGCATAGACTCTGTACCTGGTCCTTGTGGAATTCCAGAATCCTCAATTGGCATTTCACAAGTCTTCCACCCCCTCAAGTCTTGTATCAACCTATGAAGTAGGACAGGGTAGGCATTATGGGTCTCCAAACAGAACTGGGAAATTAAGGCCCAATTGGGTTGGTGGAGAAGAATACCCAGATTCAAAGTCTCCCACCTCCTGGAGAATAATCTTCCTTTTTGAGCAGTAACTCTCGGTGATTCCCAAAACTTTATGGGGGCAGGTGGTATGGAAATGAAGGTGCTCTCTGAAAGACCTAGAGATAGCTCAAGAAAATAATTAACTCATTGATTTGATGTCAGATCAGATATGGACTTATACCAGATTCTAATATAATAGATTCTAATAATAATATAATATAATATATCAAAGATTTAAGAAAACCTGTGGAAAATAAAATAAAGATGAAGAGAATTGTATTGCTTACCTGATTTTGTTATGTATGATTCACAACATTATTTGATTTTCCCAGGGCAATCCCCACACCTGTCCCAGCCTGTATGAGGGATGCACCCCATTTGCACAGACCGTGGTCTGCCCAGGCATACCAGAGTGTGGCTGGGTCCCAGAACATCTTGGCATGTTGGGTGGATCTGAGAGTCCTGGGCTCTCAGGTGGACATGAACCCTGGGGCCAGTGAAAGGCAGGTAACTCACACACATATACTTGCTCACACACACAAAGAAAGGAAACCACAGTTGGTCTGGGCTGGCCCCAAGCTGAGGAAGAGACTTTGAAAAGTGACTACCCCACTCAGTAAATCAAGATGTGGGATTCAAACCACTTCCTCCCCCAGCTTGTGTTAGGAACATCACTATCTGTTCTCGGTGGGTGCTTACACCCCAAGAGGAAGGAGTCACAGTCAGCCATTATGCAGTTCCAAAAACCTGCTCAGATGCCAGGTGACTTACCCGCACACAGGTAGTGAGAGGCAGGCTCAGGATAGGCATCCAGATCTGATTCACCTACGAGAAGAAACCCCTGCATGCTCCGGGCCATAGCCTCTGGTCCGTAGAGAAGTCCCAGCTGCTGCCCAGAACTGAATGCTCCACCATTTCCTGGCCTTTCATCTGCCCCATCAATTCCAGCCAAGTGTCTGGGCCAATCCCCACCCATTTCCCCGGAAGGAGGTTTTGTAATATCCTCTATGTGCTGTGGCCTTTTATCTACTTAGACATCCCCTCGGGGACTAAGGTTAAACTGCAGGGCCCAGATGTACATTTCAGAGAACATACCACAAAATCTGTGGTTGATGGTCAACAATGAAACCTCTTTAGGCAGAAGGCTTTTCCTATCACTGGAGCCACTAGCACACCTCTCCCTGCTCTCCCAGTTTCCCAAATGGAAAGGAGGCGCAGATCTCGGGACCGTGGGCTTTTGGGGTAGGAGGTTGACCCTCTTCAAGCTGATTACTACTTCACACTCTTGGGGGTCTTACGCAGCTTCTACTTGGCCGTCTCCTGCCAGGGGGAACTCACTACCTCTCAGACAATCTTCAAGCAATTCAGACAACACTGAGCATTAGAATGGCCTTCTTCAAATGAGCTGTCATCTGCCTCCGATTCATGAGGACCCGTGGTTCTCATTCTTTCACTTGAGACACACAAGAAAAGGCAAATGGCTCCTCAAAACTGCAACCACATCTTGCAGCAAAGCCATCAAGTTCTAGTCTTAAAGTTGACCCTCATCTCCTTGTGTGCTTGCATTATTATTAGCCACTTCAATCCTTTCTGGGCTCAGTGTCTCAAATGTAAATGGGGAAGGTTGGATAGAGTGAGATCTCCCTTTCCAGGTCTGTCCTTGTGCCCACGCCAGGACAGGTGGGCAGGGACTTGAGGCTCCTGCAAGCCAGCATCATGGAAACTATGAACAGAATCTTCATTTCCTGGCCCATGATGTGGTGTCCTATTTCCACCCGCAGAGATGAGGGAGCATCACCGAGATATAAACACAATCTGAGATGAGGAGAATCACTCCCCACCGCTGAGGTGGAAGTGACTAGACGTGGTTCGGTAAGTTTCCGTGGAGAGAGAGCTTGCAGCGTGAAGGCAAACGAGGACAGAAGAGCTTGAACTGAGAGGTAAGAGACAAAGATTCATTTCCCATTCAGCCATCAACCAGCCAGCCTGTCTGGGACATGTTGCTTGACCTCCCAAATCCTTCATTTCTTCCCCTGCTAAATGAGAGGCCTTGGAACAGCTGATCTCTAAGCTCAGGAAGTCAGAGAATCAATATAAAACATAAAGGTGGGTCAATAACACAGCCTGGAGTTTGATGAGTTTTAGCAAAGCTATCCATAAGGCTGGTGGGAAAACGGCTCGCCATACAAATACGAATGAAACTCTACGAAGATGGAGATCACGTGTTTGTTAAAGCCTGGTGCCTAGCCAAAGGGGATGCTCCCTAAAGAGGGGAGGGTGCAGGGGCTAGTGTGGCAGAACAAAGGCTAGAATCTGGACCGAGGCTCCTCCCCGCTGTTACTAACCAGGGGCCTTAGGCATGCCTTTCCCAGCCTTGGTTCCCTCATCCTTAACACAGGGGCAATCTCATCTACAGTATGGAGTTATTGTGAGGCTTAAAAGGATTAAGTGCCTGGCCCATAGTAGGAGCTCAGCTGCAGGCTGCACCTTATGTGTAACTGCGTGGAAGGAATAAGCCTTAGCAAAATCCTGGAATCTTCTTTAATTATTTAGCAGCCTATAAGGAACCTGATCCTGCAGCTGGCTCAGAAATACCTCTCTCTTTCTCTCTCTCTGTTATTCTCTCTCCCAGACACACACACACACACACACACACACACACACACACACACACACACACACACACAGGATAAAAGAAACAGCCACAGTCAGCCTGGGGTGTCCCCAGGCATAGGAAAAACATGTGTGGAACAAGTACTCAATGCAATAAATCAAACTGTGGGGTCCAAATCCGAGCCGCGGTCCAACCCCCAGCCCCAGCTGCATCAGAGGCTGGGTGCTGCTCTCCGTTCCTGCAGCCAGTGATGCCTGGAGTCTCTAGCCAGCTCCTCCAGCCCCTCCCGCGGTAGTTGATCCCTCCTAGGAGCTAAGAGTACCTGCAATGGGAGGGAGAGGGGACATCCAGGCTGCTGGCCCTTGGGATGTTCGGCTTGCCTGAGCCGAGGAGATGGATATAAAAGCTGGCTATGGTAAACTGCCTTGATTCCCAGAGTGCCAATGTTGGAAGGGACTGTAGGAAAACATGGAGGTGTGCACACAAGAGCACCCAGGGTTGGGGGGGGGAGGGTGGAGACTTAAGCTCTAGATATCCCTAAGCCCCTAATTGCTGGGTGACTTCAGGCAAGTCACTTGCCTTCTCTGGGTCTTGGTTTTATCATAGAAAATGAGGGGCTTAGGTTAACAGAGAGCCTCTAAGAGCCTTTCCACAGTATGATTTTGCTGTATTTCTCTGATATCATTTAGCTAGTCTGCTTCTCACTGGCTTCAATTCATTTCAAGAAAGCAGTTACTAAATGTTGATTGCATGCCAGGCACTTGTGCTGAGCATTGGTTGGGCCAAGAAGTAAAGACATGGTTCCCATTTTGCTGCTGCCAAGGAGCTCACAGTCTTATGAAGCAAAGCATATATTTAATCAAATAAATGTAATTCAAGACAACACACACTGAAACAGCAATCCATCCTCCAGGGAGCTTGGGGAAGGTTCCGTAGAGGACAAGGACACCAGAGTGAGAGTTTGAGAGGTGAGCAAGAAATTTCCAAAATCCTAAAGGCTGAGGCACAGCAGAAACCAAATCAAAGGGAAGTGTCAGTGGATATGAATATTCGTGTATGTGGTTGTAGCATGGAGAGGGATGGGTGGACATGAGACTAGAAATACAATCTGGAAACAGAAGTGTGGGAGATCATTAATGTCAGCCAAAGAATCAGTTCTTTCTCCTGTGGGTAATGGGGAGCTACTGAAGATTCCCTGGCAGAAGACTGACAAGATCAGGGCTGCATTTCAGACCATTCATTTTGGCGGCAGCAACGTAGAACCTTGGGATAAGCAAACCAGAGCCCATGGACCAGATCTGGCCTGTGGTTTGTTTTCATATAGCCTGTGAGCTAAAAACGTTTTTTTATAACTTTTTACTACTACTTTATTGAGATAGAATTCACGTACCATATAATCTATTCACTTAAAGTGTACAATTCAATGGATTTTAGCATACCCACAGAGTTCTGTAAGCATTACCACTGCCAATTCTAGAACATTTTTCCTCTCTTCAAAGAGAAACCTTGTCTCCTGTATCAGTCCCCACCCCCTTCCTCATCCCCAGCCTGACTCTCTGTGTCTATGGATTGCTTATTCTGCATATTTCCTATAAATGGAACCTAAATATAAATGAATCCTTTGTGTCTGCCTTCTTTCACTCAGTATGTTTCCAAGGTTCAACTGTGTCGTAGCATGAACTAGTACTGCTCATCATGGCCAAATGGCTCTCCACTGAATGGATAGACCACTTTGTTTATCCATTCATCAGCTGGCGGGCTTTTAGGTTGTTTCCACCAAAGAATAATATGCAACATAGATACACGTGGCTCACGAAGCCTAAATGTCTACTGCCCGGCTCTTCACAGACTGAAGTGTGCTCTCTACAGCAGAGAAGCAAGGACAGGAAGTCTGACAGTTTCCAAATGAGACATGATGGAGGCCTCACCTAGGATGAAGGAAACATATTTTGGGTGGGAAAATCAGCTGGATTTGGTGACCGATCAGATGTTTGGTTGAAGGAGAGTTACTGAGGAAAATTCATTTACCATAAAGAAACTGAGGTTCCAGAAATGGGGTGAATCGTTTTCTGTGAAGCTGCTGGCTGATGGCAAAGCTAAGCTAACAATCTATCTCCCTCTTGACTACAGCATAATCTGGAAGCAGACTGAGCGGGTGGCCTGACCTCGCTGCACCAGGCTTCCACCCCCAGGCTCACCCGCCATGCGTGTGCCCCTCGCACCGGCATGGTCCCTCAAGAAGAGCAGACGGCGGTCCCTGGAGCCACCTGGAGTGTCAGTGTCTCATGTATTCCTCACAACACCTTCATGGGCGTCTCTGGGGCAACCCGCTTCTTCCAGGTGAATGGACAGTCTTACCTCCACTTCCTCAACTCCCTCCAGTCCTGCGTCCAAATTTGGGAGCCGATGCTGTGCTTATCACAGGATAAAGCAGACTTTGGGGCTGTGGGGCCCTACCAAGTATGCCTGGGAAAGCCAGGCATGTGGCTCCCGCACGACTTCCCAGGTGCTGGGCCAGCGCCCCACGGGTGCCCAAGGAACCAAGTCAGAGTCTCTGTGCACTGCTGGTTTCTGGTAACGGTGCTTCTCAATCTCCTTCAACTTCTCTGGATCTCAAAAGAATCCAAAATCCACCTTGGCAAAGAAGGCTCTCCCCACCATGCCTCAGCCGCACCCCTTTCATCCCCACGTCTACAGTCTACACTCCCTGTTTCTCTTGCACTCCTTGTTCCCCGGACTCACCATGCCCCTTCCTGCCTCTGAGCTTCCTGTGTGCTCGTCCTTCCCTTAGCATTGTCCTCCCCCACTCCCTTCTCCAGGCAGAAACTCCTGTTCACCTGTCAGAGCCTATGCAAATATTCTGCCGCTGGGAAGCCTCTCCTTCCAGCTCTTGTTCATAACTGAGTTGTGACATTCCTGTTTTTGTGTGTCTCTCCCCCACTAGGCTGTGCCTTCTGTTTATGCCTTGAGGGTTTAAGCAAGAGCCTGTCCCATAGTCTTCACCTTCTAAATATTTGCTGAGTGAATAAGGGAGCTGGAAAATATTTTTTCCCCTTGTCCTTAAATTTCAAGGGGAATTTCATTACTGAAGCCCTCTGGATATTTCAGAGGAAGCTGTTACCAGCCTCACTGCTTTCCTTTCTATTGATCCTGGGATTTACGGCACTATTGTTTTCTTTTATTAGTCTGTAATGGCCTCTGTTAAAACACGTTACATGGAAATAGGCTAATTAAGTGTGTCAGATAAGTCAACATCCCACGCAGTGGCCAGCCCTTCCCAAGCCGGGCAGTGGGGCCTCATGCTGGAGGGGGACAGGTCAGGTGCGGAGGTAGCGTGTCCTCCTTACCCCTGTTTCTCAGAGCAGGGGAGGCCCCCACATGTGTCAGAGGGCTCACGGTATTGCTCTGCGCACCTCTTGGAGTCAGTGTGAGATGCCACTCCGAGCACCTTGGCTCTCCCACACAGCTGGAGCTGACGGCACCCACACTGGGGAACTTGCTTCTTGCGCCCCTGCCTGTTCCTAGTCTAGGTCCTACGAGGAAAGAGTTCACGTCTCCATTCCAGGGGAACTTTTGTTAGCAGGCCTGAAATGGTCAGACTCATTTTGGGAAACCTGTTTCACCCACCTCTGTCTGTTTCCAGTCTAGTAACACCCAGTCCGTGTCTGCAGGAAGTCCAGCTGGCGGAGACGCTCCTGCCCTCAGAGGAGAGGTGAGTGCCTGCCTTTTGAGGAATTTCCAATAGGCTCTCAGCTAGTGAAGTCCAGTCTCCAGGACAGTTGTGGTAGCTCTTTCAGACAGCAGCTTCTCAGTCCTTCTTGTCCATTTGAGAATGGCATGTTTGATAAGGTTCTCAGGAGAAAGAGTCCCTGTAACTCATGACCAATGGTCAGTTTCACTGTACCACTGCTAAAAGTCTTATTATTTGCTTAGTTGAATCCACTCTCCAAGGCCCTGTCAAGTCCATTGCTTTCTCTTCCCTCGAACTTCTGAGATGAACTGCCTACAGGAGCATATTTCAAAATATTAATCCTGCAGGAAGACAGGATTCTCTGCTTAAGGAAGTTTGGGGAACTCTGTGTTAACAGTTAAATAGGCTTATTTACTACCGAACTTCTCAGAGCCTTCAAGATGCTAATACACATGATGAATTTTCAAGAAAAATGTGGCAGGTCCCATCTCCTACTACCCCTCCCCAGTATTAGAATCATACATCCTCGCCCTTTGCTGTGTGACTTTGCAGTACCTCCCCCTAGACTAGGTCACATGCATTTCCAGTTCCCACTGACGGTCAGCTTGACCACGTGACTGACTTTGGCCAATGGAAGGTGGGCAGAAGTGGGGTGTCTCTAAGCTGAAATGACAGCAGGCACTGCAAGTGTCTGCTAGTTTTCTCTCCATTTTTGCCATTGCCATGGAAAGAACACAGCCCTGGCAGCCATTGTCCCAGAATGCAGCTGGTGAAGATACTCAGAACCAAACAATGATCCAAAGCAGAGCTGCCCTACCCAACCCCTAGGCAGGGATGAGAAAGCAGCATTGAGGAGGTTTGCTCCTTAACAACAACTGACTGTACGGGGTCTTATTGCTGCTGTAACAAATTTCCACAAACTATGTGGCTTAAGGCAACGCACATTCACTCTCTCACAGTTCCAGAGGCGAGAGGCTGGAAGTCCAAAGTCATCCTCACTGGGCTAAAGTTGAGGTGTTGACACTGCTGTTGCCTCTGGGGAATTCAGCAGGGAGCCCGTTGCCTATGCTTTTCCTGCTTCTAGTGGCCGCCTGTGTTCCTTGGCTCACGGCCCCTCTCTCCATCTTCAAAGTGCAGCACTCCACGTTCCGCTCCTCCTGTGACATCTCTGACTCCTCACTTTGACCCTCCTGTCTCCCTCTTACAGGAACCCTGTGATTATATTGGAGCCACCTCAAATCCAGGATAATCTTCCCATCTCAAGATGCTTCCCATCGGCAAAGGTTTTGTGCCATATAAAGTAACATTATAGGTTCTGGATATTAGGATATAGATGTATTCAGGGGCCCATGATTCATTACCACACTGACAGGAACAAGAAAAGGATAAAAATATATAGGATCTCCCTGAAGTATTTGGAACTTTTTTCCACAGGGCATCTCAGAATACCTCCTCCTTCCTCTTGAAGATACCACTTGAGGAAACTGGGCCTTGCCCTGTTATGAGGCATTTCTGTTGCTAATCTGCAGTTACTGGGTAAACGGATATCCCACTGCCTACCGTAGGATTCCAAATTCCTGCATATTCAGTTCAGCCACTTTCTTTGCTTGGAGGCCTCCTACTTTCCTAATCTGTAAAATAGAGACAACATCTGTCTGTCAGGGCTGAACTGATGCTCAAACTATGAGATGATTGTGAACACGTCTATGCAGTCATTAGCCTTAACTTCTCAATAAACAGTACCTGCTTTCATTGCCTGGCAGCCTGTGCCAGAAGAGGGAGAAACTACATCCATCCTATGCAGGATTGGCTGTCATGGCAGACGATGCTCTTTGCTGATGGAGACGTCACCCTGATACCCAGATCCCCACTTTCCCCCCTCTACCTTGCCCTCTTCAGTGTTAGGCATGCAGCATGCCCTGTCCTGTCTATACGTGCCCTGTTGTCCTCTAATATGTGGGAGTCCCTGGGGGAGGTGGGCAGAACTGATCACCACTCAGTAGTTGGATGGCTTTGGGACTGTTCCTGGTTTTTTCAAGTCTTGCATTTCCCCACATGCAAACATGAGGTAGATTAGGGGCCTGTGGCCTCTCCCTACCAAATCTGAAACCCTTGAGTCAGTCTGTGACTCACCCTTCCTCACCATTTTACTCAGCAAAGGCTTAGGACCCCAGGAGTACTAAAGAAACATTTGATGAGTAAAACATTAGCACCCCTTTTTGTGCAATCTTTTCTTATTTTGCATTCTAATGGGCTGTTTAAACTAAAATACCTTTCGAAAACCAAAAGAAGAAAATGGCAAATTACTCAGACTCCAGAAGGGACCACTGAGACATATTTAGATTATTGGGCCTTTCCAGGGACTCGAATCCCCTACACAAAGCCGATGCTGCAGAAATAAAAATGCCACCAGTGAGTCCTGTGTCACAGAATCGCAGGTTGCAAACCCACTGGGAAGCTTTGGTCCCCCAAACCTACAAAACCCTTTAGCAGCCCCTGATCTTTCCAAGGATTGAAGAAAGATCTATTTTGTGAGAGGAGGATGACCAAAAAAAGGGTTCAGTCCTAAAAGATTCATTCCCACTACTGTGTCTTCTCTTGAATCTGGGGTGATTCCTGCCATTAATATTTTAAGCAACTAATTTGACATTTTTCCATTTAATTAACTTGCATACACATATGACAACAGGGTTTTGAGAGTACCATGCATGACATTTAAACAAAGTCATTTAAGCTTTTCCATTTCTGCTTTTTTTTCTTGGCCTTTTTTCTTGTTGTTCCATTTCTGTTTTGCATTCCTGACACTGAAGCTGGCTTATTAGCTCAGAGAAATGACCAAATTTCCCAAAGCAAATGTGCCACAGCCTCAACCTAGGTGACGTGGGTGGGCCCGGAGCTCTGGGCTACAGCTCTTTTAAAGTTGATCCTGCTCTTTTTTCCATTTTTAACAAATGGCGCTCCGATCACAGCAGGCCCGCGTCACAGGCTGAAGCTTCCTGTTGCCATGCCAACCCCCCCCCCCCGTGGGGGGGGGGGGGGGG